GTCGCAGATGGAAGGGCAGCAGCACGTACGAAGCTCCGCCGTGAACAGATACATCAAAACCTCTGGAGGTTGGGGTTGACCGACCCGGCATAGACTTGCGGCTCGCCACCGCGGTTCAAGAACACCAGATCGATGTCCATCTGAGAGACGGTAGCGACATCATTAGAATGAGAAGCGGCCAGCTACGATCAAGCAACGTGTAGGTTCGTGCGGCTTTGGTGCAGGTACATTGAGTATGACGTTGACTGAGGCATCGCCGCCGCCAGAGATGAGAAGAGCCGAGTAATGGAAGTCGAGATCGACGCGGAACGAAATCTCGTCTCTGCACAACAGTGGAGCACGCATAGTCAGCCATGCTGGGGTGGAACGCACACAGCACCATTGGGAAGGGCGAGGTGAGGTGTACAGATGAACACGGACGACGCCGTCGTTGACTGCGGGGTCGCTCACCACTTGCGCCGAGAGCCGACCAAAGTGCCAACCCGAGAGCTTGATGTTGTATAAACTGGATCAGAGCAAACAGGAAGCCGTGAGTTTTCAGGAAAAACAACCAAACATTCCAATACAGTTGCAACCACATATAATTAATTATATTCCAATATATAAACATGTTGAAAAAAAGCTTGACAAAAGGTGCCGAACGTTCTCCACAGAAGTGCAGAACGTTCGCTACCCCAGCCAGCCTGGCGCAGTGGTGCTACAAAAGTGGTCGCGGAGAGGCGAGAAGGCCATCATCCTTGCGCTTGGGGCAAACATGCACGCAGCTGTGACCGTTTAGAGGTATGCTCGTGCCCTTTGCTGATTGCCAACTGCCCATCCAGTTAGCAGAGCGTGGTGCCAGAGGCGCCCTCACCCGGACCTCGGCGCCCAATTTCTTTCACCGGCCTTCGAGCCACCCACCCCAACTTCAAAAGATAAACTGAAGTGCACGCGCAGACGTAAAGGAGGGAGGAGAAGGAGGCAACAAGTACTCGTAGTCGATATCTATGTGGATAGGCGTGCCAATGCTGCCCGACTGCCGGCCATGAAGAAGAGAAAGGGAACGAGTAATTGTGAGTCCGCAACGACACAGCTGTGTCAAACGTTTCACAATCATCTGATCAGCTGCGTACGATTTTGTCAATGTGAATGTGGGAGATGGCGTTCTCTACGATGGATCGAAGGTCGTTGGCAGCCTGCTGAAAGCCAGACACGCTGAAGAGAGACCTGAAGCCTGCCCATGGATAATCGAACGCGGGCCTACTAGCGACGCCTTCGTCAGCATCGTTGACGATCGAGATCCTGCTGGCTCCAGTTCCAGCGCTGCAGACCGCCACGAGCAGAGCCAGGAGCAAGAGCAGAGCTGCCGCCCTGCACCCCATCTTTTATCTTTATTTTATTTGATCTTTCACTCTTCCCAAATTTTGAAAAGAATTTCCCAAATTATTGGCTCTCGTGACCGGAGTTGCGGCGGAGGCGAAGAGAAACTTCTGTTGGGGTTCTGTGCGACGCACACAGCCCCAACAGCACACCTGTCACGAGTGCGACAGCGAGCTGAGGTCGTCTTGGCTTTGTTTGGATGGAGCCGGCATTCTCCTCACCGACACTGAACCGGACCATCACCGCGCCCATGGCCACCGCAACCGTGAGCGTGCCCGCCCTGCACCTGCCCTCCATCGCCACCACCACCTCCAGCTCGCAAGTCCCGCAATGCGGTGGCGGTGGTAACGGCTGCACCCCCCGCGGCCGCAGTACTCCCCCTTTCTCTCCTTATTCTCTCATCTTCCACTTACCTTGTTCTGCCGCAGTACTAAAAGATGGATGGATGGAAAAGAAGGGAGCCCGTGTCAAGAAGTGGTACCCCCTCACGTCAAACTGTCTTGATGCTTTTTGGCGTCTTTTTTATTTTGATTTATTTTTATTTTTATTCTATTTGCCTCTCGTGTGAGCCTATGCCTGATGGTGAGCGTGCACAGGCGACGGCGGTACTTCCTCCTGTTCTCCGACCCGCGCGAACTGCGGTACTTTGACGGCGAGAAACTCAAGGGCACGATTGACATGGGTACACATCCACGCCCCCTGCCCAATGCAGTCATTTGATCGTGGACGTAGTGCTCACTGCTTCTTCTTTTGCTTCTTCTTCTTCTATTGGCGTGGATCAGAGCAGGTCAAGGCCATCTCCAAGGCCAAGCAATGGTCCAAGTCGCTCGACCACTGCTACTCGTTTGAGCTGCACACGCCGAAGCGGGTCTACTACATCAGCTGCGACAGCGAGGAGGAGATGCTGTCGTGGATGAGCGAGATCCGACAGATCCTGACGACCACCACGAGCGCGAGTCGCGACAACCATCATCACCATCACAATCATGTCATCACCGCGGTGGGCGAGGCGTGGGACACGACCGAGGTGCGCACGGCGCGGGCGGGAAGCGTGAGCGGGTCCGAGAGCGGCGGCGAGTCGGACGAGCCGGCGGGCCAGGGTGGCGGCAGGCCCAGGCCCGGGTGCGATGGCGGCGGCGTGCGGATCTATCTGGCGCCGCGCGACGAGGACGAGGACGAGGAGGCCAGCGAGAGCGAGGGCATGGACGAGTCCGAGATCTTGCCCGAGAGCGGCGAGCTCCCGAGCGCGTCGGCGTCGGCGGGTGGTCACGCCGCTGGCTTCCGGAAGCCGCGCACATTCCCCAAAGAGGGCGGTGGTGGAGGCTGGAACCAACCTGGGAGGCGAGACGCACTCAGTACGCTTTCCTTCTTCACCACCGCGATCCAGGCTGATGATTGTGTCGGCTGACGTAATGACGCCTTGCGTTATGGCAGCGGATCACGATCGGCTGCCGGCGGTGAAGGCGATCATCCTGGATTCGCTGATCATGTGCCAGATGAAGCTGATGGAGGACCGCAAGCATTTCCGCGAGAACGCCGGCGCCATGAGCAAGGAGGAGCTGATCGCCCTCGTCAAGCAGTTGAAGAGCCTCAACGAGGGGCTGGGGCTGGGCTCCTCCTTGTCCGGCAGCCGAACAGCACGACCCTAATGTCATCTCGCCAAAAAATGTAAATAAAATACTTAACATTTGGACGTTAGAACCTCTCAATGTTATGAACATTATTTGTAAAGTAAAGCGGGTATTCAGTTATTTGTGGAGCTCTCTCTTTCGAGAGCGGCTTTCTCCAGGAAGTCGGCGTAGGTGTCGTAGGCCCCACCGACCCTGTCGCCAGGAGTGTAGTACCGCCACTTGAGAGCCAACTGCAGGACGCCGGAGGAGATGAGGTCGGCGATCTTGTCGGGCGCGTTGTAGGTGGTCCATTCGAGCAGGTGCGGCCACTTCGCCTTCCACTCGTCCAGCTTGAGCACATCCAACTCGGCGTCGCATGCCCGGCATTGACACCAGGCGACTGGCGGGGTGGAGACAAAGTATTTGCTGAGGGCCCTCTTTGAGACATCCAACCTGAGGAACCATCGGAGTAATGTGAGTTGAGTGCTTGCAGAACGAAGGCGAAGAAAAAGAACGAAGACAAAGAGAGCGAAGAGCGAAGAAAAAGAGAGGATGTGCAGTGTAGGGTACCACTCGGGTGGGTGCGAGCAGAGCAGCCAGGGATGCCGCTCGTTCTTGAGGTGGCTCATTTGCAAGTCGATGGCGATAGGGACCAGCTGTTCTCACATAACATCACACCAACCCACTCCGATCAATCAATGAAGCACACAGAGGCAGAGTGAGTGTCGAGAGACGTACACAGCGCATGAGGCGTGAGATCTTGGCCAGCTCCTCGCCTTCCTTCATTTTCTTGATCTTCATAGTTGCCTGATGATGCCCACACGTGAGTCAGAGCTATGCGAACCAAAGTGCTAGAGGTGCGAGCGGTACCTCGTGCTCGCGGTAGAGCTTGCCGTATTGTTCGCGGTAGTTGATCTGTTCCATCTTCTTGTTCTTCTTGTTCCGACCCTTGCCTCGGCGCTCCGTCTTCTTCCACTTGAACTCGGTAAGGAGGAGCCCCGGCCACAGCTTCTCGTCAGCATCCAGCACGTCCCGCCACCTCGTGCACACCTGCCCACATTTTCAGGAGTATATTGTCATTTAATAGTCCAAAAAATCAATTAAATCAAATAATTTACAAATAACAATATCTAGAAAAAGAAACATTACCTGACGAACGCGAGCGAGCGAGGGGCCGTCGCGCAAGTGCGAGAAGATGAGCGTGAGAATGAAGTCGTCCACGAGGTCGAACACCTCCGCCGCGGCCTTTGAGGCCGAAGGCTTCGGCTGCGCTTTCTTGTTGCTGGGCTTGTTCTGCTGCTTCCGCCCTGCCTCTGGGGTCGCCCGTCGGTGGCCGGTGGGAACTACCAGCTTGCCTTCGTCGGCCGATGCCAGGACGCCAAACACGTTGGTCGGGGGAGCGGCAGCAGCTGCGGTTGGGGCTGTTCTCGCCTGTGCTCCTCTTCCTCGGCCGCCGCCATTGCCACCACCTGTCCGTCGCATGCGTCTTTCTTCTCCTCCGGAACAAGACCAGTTCTTCTCCTGCCGAAGCTTCTCTTTCAATAAAGTTCACCTAATCCCACTGTGCCCTGATTGGCGTTCTGATTTTCTGAAGAAAAAGAAAAACCGGAAAAAGAAATGGAATGCTGCCGTCGTGGCCACGGTGTTTCTGCGGTGGTGCAGTGCCTCTTCGACATTCGAAATAAGATGTAGAGCTCGTCGACAACGAAGAACTGATCCATGCGGTGGACCCAGGTCGGCGGTCTGGCTCTGGAGGCCCTTGCCTGCTCGAAGATCAGCTGCTGCGGGTTGGGCAGGGGCTTCTTGTCCACGGCCGCGTGCACGCCCGATATGCCCGCTTCAGCACCACAATCTTCAGCTCTCATCTGCAGGATCGAACCCAAGCCGTAGCTGCCACCCACCACCACCACCACCACCACGAACGTCAGCTCGGCGATCAGGGTTAGGGTGCAGAAGGAGTAGTTAGTTACCTGGCGAGGACTTCGCGAGGGTCGAGTTGATGGCCGGCGAGGGTGCTCAGCGCGAAGGGCGAGCGGCGGAGGGTCATGGACTTGCCGCCCAGGTTCGCCATGATGGCGTGCAGCAGCTACAGAAGAGAATACGCATCAACCGCCACAAAGCGGGCAAGATCCGTACTGGTGCATGGGGTTCGTTCTTTGCTCCAATCATTGGCCAACGAATGCGTTTGTGGTCTCTTGCAGGCGCGGTGGGCAAGTCGGCGTTGACTATCATGTTCACGCAGAATCACTTTATCGAGGAAAACGACCCCACCATCGGTTTGCGCCCCACCTATTTTGCTTCCTTCGCCTGATGCTTTTCCATCTTACCACAGAAGACAGCCCAAATGCAGAAGCAGTTCTTGGTCAATGACTACATTTCATGATTGTGTACCGCGTCACCAACAAAGCCAGCTTCAAAGAAAGTACGCCCACAGATGCACCAGGAGCACAAGCCAATGACCTCAACACACTACACACAAGCACTAACTGATCACAATTCAACTCTCTACAGCCGTCTCACTAATGACAGTGCGGGACCGAAGACCCAGAGAAGCAACAGCCAGACACGCATAGAGAAGCCCACCAAGTGTTTGCTCTCCTGAGGCAATCACAAGACATTGAGACACCAGCCTTGTGCCCGTTCATGTGTGATAGGCGCTGAGAGTAATGGTTCCAAGATAAATCCTGTTCAATAGCATGACATCAAAGGGCGCCAAGTCGTTGCATCTCTTGTAGGAGGGCAGCATGGTCCTTGCACAGGAGGGCATCGATGCCCATCGCCTGCGCGGCGGCGACGTTCTCCTCTGAGTCGTCAATGAAGAGTGTTTCTTCGGCCAGCAGCTGATGATCTGCACATGATGAAGAAGTCTGATCAGTTTTTCTTTCTGCACGATGTCGCTTGGTGATCAAATAGGCCGACAGATGTACCCTGCAGAAGGTGTTGATAGATCTCAGGCTGGGGCTTGATGCAATGTACATGCGAGGAGATGGTCATCCCATTGAACTTGGCGAAGCACACCTCCTCATCCTTGTAGCGTTTGTACACACCTACCCACACGTATGGAGTGAACCAACACACACGACACACAACACAACGGTGTGTGTGCAATGCATCCACTCTTGCTATGGAGGCTCTACACATACCGTCAAAATACTCCTTGTGGAAGTTGGACAGCACATAGGTCCTGTAGCCCTTGGCTCTTTGTAGAGTGACACAGCCAGTGAACAAACACCAACAGAGATGAGTAAATGGAGGTGAGGAATGCGCACCTCACTTGGTTGAGAATATCAACACCTGCAGGCAGGGGCATGAAGTACGGCAGACACCCCTCCACGAAGCGCCTGTAGTCCTCTGTATACCGAAGTGCGAATTACATTTATTGATTTATTTATTAAATTATTTATTTATTTGGTGATGGGAAGAACAGAGGGAACCTTTGTTGAAGGGGGCGGGGAGGAGGGCGATGGACTCCTCGCGAGAAATGTCACCTTTGTCGAGGAGCTTCCAGCAGGGGAGCGAGGTGGCCTGCGCTAGCTCCAGTGGGCAGTCCTGCGGCAGTCGGTCGCTGAATATGCCAGCAAGGAACGCCGGTGGGTCCCACGCCAGCAACACCCCGCCCAGGTCGAACACCACATTGCGGTACACCTTCGTGCCATCAGCGCTCTGCATGTCTGATAATGCAACAATAAAACAATAAAATAAAAACTGATTTTTTAATTCTCCGTTAAAAGTCCCGGATTGGGCAGTGAAATAGAAATAAAAGGAGGCCAACAGCCTTTGATTGATTCAACACAACTAAGATGAGCGCAGTGAGCAGACGCCCCAAGGGTGTGATCTCCTCCGGCAAGGAGTTCAACAGCTTCGAGGAGTTCTTCCCGTTCTACATGCAGGAACACTCGAACCGAACGAATCGCCGCTTGCACTTCATCGGCACCAGTCTGGCTCTGCTCTCGCTGGCTATCCTCACCTTCCTCGGCCTCTACAAGTTCCTCTTCGCTCCCTTCGTCTTGGGCTACGGCTTCGCCTGGGTACTACACGCCAAACAATTGACAAACTGCAATTCATGGATTTCATCTACTGTTCGACTTGCAGTTCGTTGCTCACACGAGAATGTAGGTTGGTCACTTCTTCATTGAGAAGAACAAGCCCGCCACTTTCAAGCACCCTTTCTACTCGCTCGTACGATTGACTGCCAATTTTAGCGCTTCAATTATCAAATTAATCTTTCCTCGTGTTTTGGTGGCAGATGGGCGACTTCCAGATGTGGTACAACATCATCACCGGCAAGCAGAAGTTTTGAAGATGCCTCGAGGCAGCAAGAGCTGATTTTTGCTCTATTTATTTTGCATAAAACAAATAAATTATACTTGTTTTTCTTTTTGTCTTACGGTTGAGAGATGAAACAAGCAGAGCGAATCTTCATACTGCCCCAAA